TAACAACTCTGAGCTATTAGTTAAGTTCTCCCCAAGCGAGCTCGATGGGCCGAATGGCCTCCTCTCGTTTGTATAGTTCTTATGTTCTTATGTTCTTATAGGCTCCATCATTGGCAGCATGATCTTCTATACACTTTTTCTGCTGTCACGTTCAGGTAATGTCCCTGGCTCTCTTTATTGCATCTGCTTAAATTCATTGCAATATAGCAAGAAAACATAACTGAAACGTATATCAACAACCATTAATTGTTAATATTTTTCAAGAGAAAGACTTTTAAAAATAAGGGTCATTCTATTTTAATTGAACAAATTTCAAACAAGATCTTGCATCATCATTTTTGATTTTGATTACATTTGGCATGTGAATTACACATACTGTACCTTCCATAGATCATGGGTATTTCTTCTTTTTTCTTTTTGAGATACAGCAAAAAAGCCCTGAAAATTATATCAGTAACCACTAAGTTTTATTATTTAGTTAAAGGCAACATTTTAAAGTAAAGCTAATAGATGACACATTAATTATCATGACAATTTACTATATGAGTAGAAGATGTAAGGATATATTATTGTAGTTACTTATAAACAGCAATTTTGAGAAAAGTTATGGAGCCTCAGAAGAGAAATGGAGGGGGGGCAAAAAAATCGAAGTTGAAAAAAGGTCTTGCAGGATTTTGCTAAACCAACCATCGATTTTTTCCCCCTCTGTGTCCCTTCCGTAAAAATGAACTGCTGCTGAAAACTTAAATTACATGCTATTTAATGTGTTTCTATTTATGAATTCTGCTATTAACAGGAACAAGCCACAACTTTGTCTCGGCTAATAGAGGTAACTGTTTTCTTACATTTCCTGTACAGCTGTTATTTGAATTGTTTTATCCATATCTCATTCTTCATGATTGTTTTTGTTTGAATTGAAAATAGAACCTTAATACAATTCAATAAAAAAACTTTTTATCCAATGACCAAATTAAGAGATTTGCAGAGTAGAAAAATGTAGAATATAGCAAAGAACACTTTACAAACACCACCAAACAATGATATCACACAACTCTAAATAACATAAACAAGAAAATACTCCACTTTATGACAACAATACACAGTACTATCCTGTGCCATGCTCTAGTGGTGTAAATGAGCAGTGCACATTGGTTCAAAATGTTCAAAATGTGCAATGAATGGTGAATAGGACATGAAAATTACGATCAGCTGTCCTCATAATTTAGCACTGTAGCATCACACCTTCCATGGCTGTGGATTTTATTCCTGCACTGTGTGTATGAAGCCTGAATGATCTTTGTGTTTTACTACAGTTTTTGTACCTGTGTGTTTGCCTTCGAATGCATTCCCAGCTAAGGTGTCCCCTGTCTTGTGTCCTTCCTAAAGCAGGCTGCAGGTTCACTGTGAAGATGAAGTTTTGGAATTGCTATACTTCTTTCAACCAGCAGATGTCAGTACTGTAAAACATTGCCTTTAACACTTCTGCACCAGTGATAATGACAGACATGACTCCCTCCCTTAGGTGCGGTGCTCAATGTGATCATCACGGGGCCAAGCGAGGTCACTGTAGGGGTTGCAGCTGACTTCCGCTGCTCAGCCCAATGCAGTATCCCCTGCTCTTACAGATGGCTTGTACAGGGGAAGACGGTAGATGGCCCATCACTGGCAGTCACCCCTACCAGCGGGGGGGACAGCATAGAAATCCAGTGCACAGCCACAGACCCTCAAACTAGCAAATCATCTGCCAGAATGAAACAGGTGAAAGTGAAAAGTAAGGAAACGCAGGATGCTTACTGCCATATCTGAAGAAGTATTCAGCTACGCCTTTATCAAATATGGGTGTAGTGCTGTGTTCTTCTAAGTTACATTGCTGGACACCATGTAAAAGACTACATTTGTCCTTTATTACCTAACATCAGGCGAAACACTATACTTCCCCTAAATCATGCAACATTACACCACATAAAAAACTACATTACCCAACATCAAACCTTGCAAAAGATTACACTTCTCTTACATTACCAGAAACTGGTACTGGTGCAAGATAACATCATCAGTGGCTGGCCTCTTTTGATATCGTAGTCTTTCATTTTTCTATAATCCTGCCTGAGTTTTTTCCGTTTCTAAGTGGTACTGTTGTGTGTTACTCATGTGTACCATTTCTTCCATGCAGTTTGGCATTATAGCAAATAGATTGGATCTTCAGTTGTCCATGCATCCATTATTATAACTTTTTTTTACTTAATTTATTCTTGTTTTCTGTGTTTGTAACTGTGCTTTCTCAAGATGGTGGTTGTATTTTGTGTTTGAGAGGCAGCTCATTTTCATAGCCAATTGAAAATGAACACATTTGCAAGTCCCGCCCCAAAGTACCAAAGGAATACCCCAGCTGGTTTGGTAATGCGTTATTGGTACTTGACTGGAAATCAATGAAAAAAGGGCAGTACCAATTTTTTAGTACCAAAATTCCAGTAGCTGCTGCAGTGGAAAAATGCCCATATAGACTGCACTTCCCCATAATTACCCAACATGACTCAAGACGTCAAGATTACATTTCATCTTTGTTGCAGATCCATATGAAGTGATTCCCATGGCAGATGAACCCAAGGAAAATGAGGCCTTCAATCTGACTTGTTCAGGCCCCAGTGAACTACTTCAGGTGTTCTGGTACAGAAACAATAAGCCTGTGACCCTTGACAGGTGGATGAGCCTCTCGAGAAAGAACGCCACATTGTCCTTCAGCAAACTGTTGGAATCTCATAGCGGATATTACCTGTGCCAGGCCTCCATTGGCACTGTTACAATTCAAAGTACTGAATATTTACTCACATGTGAGTATAGTTTAAAGGCAATGTAGCTCAACGTGCCTTTGGCAGTTAGTGTTTCCTTTTTGTTTATGAATACACATCTATTTTAATGGCATTCACATTTATGCTACCTTGATCAAAAATTATTGTCTTTTTCATATTCATTATTTAAATATTCATGCACTTGTGTGATGTTTTCCACCATCTATTTTAGTTGATTCCATAATATTGATGATCATTGGGCCAGATACAGTGGAGGTTGGGGAACCAGCTGTGTTTAAATGTCTAGTGAACTGTTCCTTTGGCTGTTCCATCTTCTGGACCTACAAAAACGGGTTTCCTAGTGGCACTTATCTGCAGAGAGGTACCACCATCAACTGGACCCCATCAATACCAAACATCACACAGAACTTTACATGTGTCGCGGAAAAACCTGAATCTCGCCAGTCAGCCAGTGCCCACAAATCTGTGAGGATCACAGGTAAACCTGCAGGTTTAGGCTGTGCAACACAAGCAACCCTCTGTGGTCAGGCCTCTGTGGTCAAGCCTCTGTGGTCAGGCCTCTGTGGTCAGGCCTCTGTGGTCAAGCCTCTGTGGTCAAGCCTCTGTGGTCACCTATGATTTATTCATCAGGAATTCTCCAGACTCAGAGGAATATCACTTAAAAAGTTGTCATTCATAAGTATGTAGTAGAAATAGTATAATTGCCCATACTAGTGACATTTAGATCTTTTACTGATTACAGCTTATCTATGCATGTTGTTCAGTGCTAATTACGATTTTATTATTATTATTTTCAGACAGAAAACCCACAAATCTGCCAAAGTCTGGGGCTGACGAACTGATATCAAAAATGCCAAAGGGGGTGGCCATTGCTGTGTGGCTGTCCTTCATTTTGAGCTTCTGAAGGGGGCGCTCTAAAGACAGAAAAGTAAGGAGCAACACACAGTGAATCGCAGATGCTCTGGCAGGTGTCCTTCCATTTTCAAGTATTTGCTACTGCAGCCTTGTGCTGGATAAGCAGTATGGATGATGGATACTTGCATGGATGTACGGATGGGTAAATGATGGTTGGATGTCTGTTTTTGCTTTTCTCTTTTGGGAGGTCATTGCCTGCTTTGTTATCATATACCATTAATTACAAATGTTTATTTGAATCATACATCATTTACATCTCAGTTCAAACTGCTGCTAATGACACCTGAACAATTTCACAGGAAGTCAGACTCACAAAATAAGGCTGCTCATAAATCATATCTGCATGTTTTAGAAGGAAGGTCAGTTGTCACTTAAGGGGACATTTTTGGTTGATTTATGGTCATGATTTCCTTTTTAAAATTAACATTTGTGGGAAATCATTCTAATTCTGTAGTAGTTTGAGAGACTATATCAAAGGAGACTTTTATGGTCAAGCAGTATACTGCGGTGCTAAATGAAGCACAATTTTCAGAAGTTTTTTAATCTACTATTTTATATTATTCTTTATTTTTTAAAAGGTTATCTATGAAAATAATCATGATTACAATTTAAAAAGCTAACATTTTTATTTATCATTTGCGAGCATGGGAGTATGTTCATTCTGAAATTACTTTTGTCTTTTTTCAGCTTCACTTTTCCCCAGAAGGTCTCTTGAAAACGCAGTATGTGGATGGGTTTTCTTTTAAGTTAGCATGTCAAACTTTCAAATATTTCAAGCACAATGTGCAAAAAAAGGAGCTAGACTCACCCATACTAACCTCCAGGTCCAGGTTCAACATCAATCACAGTCACATGCATCAGGAACTTAAGTAATCTGGCCCTGGTCAAACAAGGCTTAGTCAGTTACTGTACCCACTCTCCACAAGTCTGCTTTCCACCTGTCCGTGGCACTCTCTGAAGGGGGTGTCAATATCCGGTTCTGGGCTCCTTGAAGATGCATGAACTGGAGGTCTGGGAGGAAACGTGTACAAGATTGTTTTCCTTAATTGTACTAAACCAGTTCACTTTCCCCTTGAATGATCATGGAGGCAATAGTTTCTGTTTGCTTCTGCAATTTTAGGTTGCAGAACTGTATAATGTTGAATTACTTTGATATAGCTTTCTTGAACCTTTAATATAAAATAAAAAGGACAAAAAATACAATGTGTTCAGATATAATTCCTTTGATTCTGATTTCCTGTAGGTACTACAGCATGTTATAATTTTTTGTGTGCTGTGGACAGAGTTCTCTAAATTAGGAACATCGGCAGTTATTTTACAACTGGGAGCAAAGCAATATCATATGTTTTCTCATTGTAACGTCTGCAATGGAATAAACAGTGTGACTCAAGCTTTACTGGCTTGTTTTGTTTCATCTTTGCAAAAAGAAAATGCTTTTATATTTCATGTATTTAATCTTTGGGCCGCGATGTATGGGCTCAGTATCTGGGGGTTTCTTTAAAATACCTGCTCTGCATCATCATCTGTATGACATGTTCTCGGGAGCCAAAGATGGCAAATTGTGTGACCTTGAGTTTCTCATTGTCACACTCTTTCTGCACTCTCTGAGATTACTGCTGTGAAAACATGGTACTACCCTAAGGCACATAACAGAATGTAATGAAATTATACTATCGTCATACTATAGTTATGAAATAACTGGTTACAGTGGCAATGTTAAGACATATAAGACTCTGCCAGTGATTGGCAGGTGCCCAGTTCCAACCCTGTGGCCGGCAGAATGATTTCATCATTGGGTCCTTGAGCAAGACCCTTTATCCCAGCTTGGGGTCACCTGACCCTGCGCTCACCAGTGTGCATTGCTTTCTGACAAAATGCCTTGTTGTGGAGATTTTGATTAGTGAAAACATAATTAGAGATATCTGAAGATGTCAATCTGACCAGTCAAAATATAGTTACAGATATCAAGAATGAGTTTTCATTTCAACGTGACGTTGCTGGTTATTCTCAATAGGTACATTTTTGTGAAGTTTATCATGTGTATCAGCTGATAAAAAAATGTGCAATTCTCTCTAAATTTTGCCAGCAGCTATTACAGTAATAGAATGAATTTGTCATACACCACATGAGCTATGATAAAAAGTTCTTTCACTGGAAGAGCTTTTGCTGGGGGAATACAAGGAGTTAAAGGAGATGATACACAAAGGCAACACAGCAAAGGCATCCAAACGAGCGGAGGACTGGCAAAAAGTGGCCGAGAGGTTACCACACAAGTTTCCTTTTTAATTGTTTACTATTTGCATTTCCACAACATATATGAATTATTTAGTCAGTCATATTCAGAGGAAGTACCAGCACACCAAGGACCAGGGAGCAAGTTAAAGTAAAGTAAAAAAAATATAGTAGTATTGCTTCTAACCTAAATATAAATAGGTTAGGCCTGAGACGACTTCCCCAGTTATACACATCGGGCTTATAAAACTCTCCATTTGTATATATTATTTCATCTAAGGACTATTGTTTTGTTTATAGACTTTAATGCTTTCCTTACCCTGCATTTTTCATATTTTTCTCTTATCTATGTTCCCCTGGTACTAGAAATTTTATGCCATTACTCTGATTTAAAAAGTGTGTGAGGCAACGCAGAAGGAAGGACACTGGCGTGGGTCCGGTGCAGATAAACCAGTCCTTTGATGGATGTTTCGGGAAACCAAAAAAGCAGAGACTTTTCTACACGTTGGAGAGGAATCCAGGAACAGACAGGTATTCATATCTCCCCACATGAAGTCCATAGACTGCTGTTCAGCTTCCCCCAACACCTGCAGCCTGATACAGGATCCTCTAAATACAATGGTTACATACAGATGCTTTGGAGAGGACTGTGCCTCTCTTGCTGTCGCTGTTAACACTGAGCCACCAAAAAGGCACTATCACTGTCACTGAGAAGAAAATATCACACTTCAGCTGACTGGGGGGTTTTATGGTTGGTATCGCCCCAGTGTCACAGGACGGATGTCCTGTCTTCATAAATGCATTGCAAAATGGTTCCTGTTTCAAATTGAAAGGCAACTTTTCAAAAATGTGAAAATGCGAAACCACCTGATTCTGCTGCTGTCTTGGCTCATAAGGAGGATGAAGCAACAAGCTTTGATAATTACAACGAATTACATGCCCCACACCCCATTCACGTGAACACCCAACTGCTCGTCTGTTATCTTGTGATTTCTCTTGAGATCACAAAAGAAAGTTATTTCAGGAAAAGTTGTAATTAGACACACAAACAGCATTTGTCATGAGAAGGAGGGAAGCACATTCCACTAAAAATGCCATGACTAATTGTTTTACACACATTCTCCTCAATTCAACTTATGGTAATTAATCCTAAACCATACTCTTGGCAAAATTTGGCTCATCCTTCTTGGCATACAAAAACGTGGGCACCATCTTCTCAGAAATTTCCCTGGGCCCCTGCGTGGGGTCAGGTTTTTCACCAAGACATGATTACCTGGTTGTAGTTCTGTGCATGTGAACTTTGAATCATTATTCCTCTTGTTCCTTTCTTAGTTTTTCTATGTGTGATCTTTCAACATTTTGGTAAGCTCTGTGCATTCCATTTCACCAATCCATGTACTGTACTTACTGTGTATGACTGGGATTTTCTCAGTGTTCAGTCCAAAGAAAGAATTGATGGGGAGTCTGAGAGATCTATCAAACAGGAGGTAGAAGGGACTGGATCCATTTGTTTCACATCTTGTACAGGTGTTGGTGTAGACCAGCTTGTTTAATGACTCTTTCATAATCAGGCTGGAAGTGTGTTCCACACCTTGATGCCCCATGTCATCACACTCTTGAGAAAAGCTGCTTTCCCTAACCTGTTTTCCTATAGAGAATCCCATGCTAATTCAGTGTGAGTTTGTACACGGCACTTAACTGTCTTGCTTGTTGTCCACAGCTCCCAGGGAATGAATGATAGAGCAGGCTTCTGACGGGAGTGAATGAAGTCAATGACTGGTGCTATGTCAAAGTCTTCCCCCTATTGTTGTTGGATCTCTGCCCTAGAAAGTGGTGCAGTACAGGGGTTTTCTATCGCCAAACCTTCTACCTCCACCTTTCTTGTTCAACCAACATTTGGTTTTTGGACACCTTGGATTGGACTAGGTACACAAAAGTACCATATGCACAGGGGTCATGGTGCAGGCAGAGAAAGGAAGGTGGCGATGAACCACTTGCGGCTCCAAGAGACAACAGGGGTTTGTTGAGTAAACTAAACATACAAAAGGAAACCAGGCAGCACAGCACAGAGTAATCTAACAGTAACAATGCACAGAGTACCTTAACAGATCAACATATAAGGACTGACCCCAAAACAGAGCAGAAACAGGTAGTTAAATACACAAGGCTAACAAGACAATGCAGGACAGGTGAGAACAATCATGAAGCACAGGAAAATTTTCTCAGTAGATCAGGTGGATCTAATAAACTAAATCATAGAACCAACCCATAGACCTATGCAGCAGTCTGGGGAAGTGGGGAAACACACTAAGGGCTTGAAGGACAACAGGGAGGACAGAATGACCTGCTGGTTAAATGGGGGGAGACAAAAAAGGTTGGGGAGGACAGGTGCTGACCCTGACAGAGTATAACAAGGTACACACTCCAGTGCAAACAGCCGAGAAGGTCGGGGTTGACATCGCAGAGGACTGACTTCCTACAGAAGTCGCTGTCGCTGTCAACCAGAAGTGGCCTAGTTTTATTCTTTTTATGTTTAGGACCTTATTATATCTACATTTCAATGTGCCAAATTGTGCCACCTGTCATTTCCTGTCTATCTGCCCCTCCTGTGTCTCCCTATCATGGTTCTAACAAGTCATCTGTATAAAGGTGATTCCCAGTGCTGTGTTCCCCAGTCCTGACATTAATGTTGTTACTCCCATATGCTCTGGTTACTGTTTGCCCTTCCTTTTGTTTTATCTCCCACAATCTAGTTTGCTTCTGTTCAGTTCTTAGTCAATAAACCCCATTCTGTTCCATTCGACTCTTTTCCCGTGTCCTTCACTCTGCTCTACAAAACACCACTACGCTTTCTTAGGTCAAACATGTCTGGAAACTTCATCAAGGTCAGAGGTGGATAGTTCAGGTCCAGAAGATAAAAATCCAGACCAAGATTGGTTTCAATCAACCAGTTGAGTACAAAAAGTCAGTCACAGAGAACTGAACCAGTTAGTTGAAACAAAACCTTTTAAAAAAAAACTTGGGGTGCATCTGGTATGTATGTACAATTAAATTGTTTTGCAATATTTCAGAAATTCTGAATATTACATTTATTTTGGGGGCTGGGCTGTAGATATGTGCCCCTGTGAAGTGGTTTAATCAATCCTGAGGAAATTCTTTTCTCTTTGCAGAGTAAGCTGCCTGTGAAGGGCAGCCACCTGTTGGGGCACCCAGGGACCTGGGGGTTAAGGGCCTTGCTCAAGGACCCACTAACATGCTGTGTGTATGGTTAACCCTCTGGGGTCTAGGGGTAGGAAACACACTTTCACTAACTGGGGCATGATCACACATTTCTTCAAATATCATAAACTTAATTCATGGCAAATAAGTTATTTCCTACATATTTGTTTTGCTATTACATTCATCTTTATTTTAATGTATATTGTAAATATGTCAGATTTTTTGTTAAGTTTGTAATTTGACATCAAAGTATAGATATTGCAAAATGCAGTTTGGAACACTTGCAGAAACATTATAAAAGTACATAGAGTTGGAGTACTGCTATAACGGTATTCCAGGTATCTGTAAAAGTTTGTACATTTTCCTTGTGTGATATGCTTTGTTTTTCAAATGAAATATATTCTATAAGAACATTTTCCTATTGAGTACTCATTGAATACTGAATGAGTTTAGACTTCCAGTTGAGAAGGGCAGTTTTCTTAGCAATAGTTAAAGAGATTAATAAAGGATTTTTATGTTCACTGGGGAGATCAATGTGTGTGTATAGCTGAGCAAACAGAGATGGAGATAGCAGGATCCTACATCATTTAGCTCTTTCTAGATCGTGTTGAAGGGTCTTTAGAGTCCTAACTTTATTCCTCAATTCCACCAGCATGGATGCTAGATTATACTTCATCATGGACAATCATGCTCATGTCAAAGCTCATGGCCAATTTGTAGGAACAGGGATGCCACATTAGGGTGAAAGCATTGATAACTGGCTTACTACGTTCTTTATATAATTACAAGCACTGTAGATACACAGCAGAACAAGGTGGACAGAACATGATCCAAACACACAAAAATAAAAATGTGAATCCATGTTTACTTCATTGGTTATTATAACTGTGTGTGAGAGATGCATCTGAAAAGGTAGCACATTGTCTATATATTGGGTCCGGAA